AACTGCTGGCTGTTGGTGGAGCCGGAGATTGGGGGGCGGGCCTTTGGATCTGGGGGCGGGCCGCTGTGGAGTGCTTAGGGCGTGGCCGGCGCCTTTCTGGGATAAGAGGGTATCTCCTGGGGGCCGGGCCTGGTAGCTTCGTGGGCGGGGTCCGAGGCCTCACCACGCCCCTTCTGACACTGGTGTCTGTCCCCAGCGTGGCGGAGGAGGCAGCCGACAGGCACCCAGAGCGCCGCATGCGCGCGGCCTTCACTGCCTTCGAGGAAGCCCAGCTGCCGAGGCTCAAGCAGGAGAACCCCAACATGCGGCTGTCGCAGCTGAAGCAGCTGCTCAAGAAGGAGTGGCTGCGCTCTCCCGACAACCCCATGAACCAGCGGGCCGTGCCCTTCAATGCCCCCAAGTGAGCCCAGAACTGGGGGAGCCGCCCCGTGGGCGGTCCAGGTCACGATCCCCAAAGGCCCTCCTGCTGCCGAGTCGGCTCAGAGGATTACAGAGAGGTCCCGGGGACCCAGGCGCCTGTCTCGGGGGCTATGTGCCAACACCGGCCAACCCTCTTCCAGCCAGAGGGTCCCTGCTCCCAGTGACACCCCCAAACCCCCGAGCACGTGTGTGTAAAGCCCCGGGGCTGAGCGCCCAATAAAGGTGGTCGGTCCGCAAGGCTGCGGTGAGGCCCAGCGTGCCCGTGAAGCATCTGTGCAGGGGTGGTCCAGTGGGGGGCGTAGCAGAGGCCACCAGCGTCGCGGGGTGCCTGGCGTGACCCGCACTGGGACCGCAGGTACAAAGACAAGGGACCCCAACAAGCTGCACCTGAGCGCCCCTGCTGCGTCTGCGGCACCCACTGATTTCACTGTGCTGCTTGCCCAGTGAGAGACCTGCACAACCACCCACTCTGCCTTGCGTGGGGCCGGGCAGGACTCTTGCAAGGGGGTAGCTTGGAGGGCTGGAGCCAGGGCTGAATTGAGGCAGCTCATTGGCTGCCGGAGATTGCTATTGAATAGCCCAGGCACCAGCAGATGGTGTAATGGCTATGTCGCTGGACTCCCATGTAGTCTACTGCGGTTCGAGTCCTGGACCCGGTGGCTTAAACTCACGCCGAGCGCGTGTGCGTGGGTGCCCAGGATCCTGAGAGGAGAATGGAGGAGAAGGGATTGTGGCATGGCCATCCCCCTGGGGGGGGGGGGATTTCTCGCTTTCTGTCTCTGTCTCTCTCTGTCTGGGAAGCGCACGTGCCCTATAGCAAAAACCTCTCCAAAATAAATAAAAAGAGTGGCCCAGAGGGGAGACCTTAATGGGTACATTGTCTCTGGACCCCCACGTAGTCAACTGTGGTTCGAGTCCCAGACTCGGGGGCTTCAAACTCATGCTGGGCGTGTGTGTGTGTGCATACCCAGAACCCCTAGAGGAGAATGAAAGAGAAGGGATTGTGATATGGCCCTCCCGCTTGAGGGATGAGGTCTTGCTCTCTCTGGATTTTGGATTTCTCAAGCCTCTGGGTCTGGTGAGCGCACGGCACCCTATAGCAAAAGTCACTCTACAAAAACAATAAATAAAAAGTGGCCAGAGTTGACCATTCATTCTGCCCAGTGTCAGGGTCAGGAAGCAGCCAGCAACTCTACTGTGATACCTACAGGGAGGCGGCTGAGTTGAATCCTGGCAGGCTTCCTGGTGGAGGATTTCTTTAGACTTAGCCTTAGTGGGGGATGAGTCAGATTTCATCACAGGGAGGAGGGACCTGGGCACGGGCACAGAAAGACCTGGAGGCTGCAGCTGGCAGGTAGACGGGGTGGTCTGAGCAGGGGTGAAGGAGAATCAGGGGGTTCCAGTTTTGAGGGAGGGCGGCTGGGATAAAAGGGCAGCATGAATTTGAGCCACGGCTTAGGCCCACCTGGGCAAGTGGGAAAGACGTCCTTCAAGATGGGATGTTGGGGGCCAGCCGGCAGGTGGCATAGTGGCTAAGAGTGCTGGACTCCCACATGGTTGACTGAGGTTCGAGTCCCAGGCCTGATGGCTTGCTTTCTCACTTTCTCTCCCTCTCTCTCCCTCCCTCCCTCTCTGGTCAAATTAAAAATAAAGTTAAATATAATAGGGACCAGCAGTTAGCATAAGGCTATGTCGCTGGACTCCCATGTAGTCAACCGCAGTTCGAGTCCCGGACCCGGTGGCTTAAACTCACGCCGGGCGCGTGTGCGTGCGTGCCCAAGATCCCGAGAGGAGAATGGAGGAGAAGGGATTGCGGCGTGACCATCCCCTCAAATGGATATGGGAGCTGCAAAGTAAATGAGTGTATCAGATAAAGCAAGACCAGAAGTGGTAAGGATGGTGCCAAATTGTAAAGTGAACCCTAGTCCTCAAAACACTTGACCAGCAGATGGCATAATGGTTATGTTGCTGGACTCCCACATGACTGATCATGGTTCAAGTCCTGGACCCAGAGGCTTGATAAATCCAAAATCCAAACAGGAGGAGAAAATGGAGAAGGGATTGCAATGCCAAGGAACTATTCCCCATTGGTTGCTTTCTCCCTTTATCTCTCTCTGTGTCTCTGTCTCTCTCTGGCAAGTACATGAGCTCTCTAGGAAAAAAAAAAACACAACAGAGAAGAAAAGAAAAAAGGGATTTAAATGTGGGATTCGGGAGAGATTTTAGAAAGCCTAAGTGGGGTTTAGGAAATAGGAAGTAGAGCATAGACCCACTTCTGGACAAACCCCAGAGGCAGCCTCTGTGAGATACTGATCCTCAGGCTCTGCAGGTGGTGTGGTGGTTAAGGGTGCTGGATTCCCACATGGCTGACCAGGGTTCGAATCCTGGACTTGGTGGCTCGCTTTCTCACTTTCTCTCTCTCTCTCTGTCCCTCTCTGATCAAATTAAAATAAAGTTAAATAAAATAATTCTTTAATAAAAAGAAAAGAGGGACCAGCAATTAGCATAATGGCTATGTTGCTGGACTCCCACGTAGTCGACCGTGGTTCGAGTCCCGGACCTGACCTCATCTTAACTTGACTACATCTTAAAAGATCTCATTTTCATATAAGGTCACATTCACGGGTACAGGAGGTTAGGACTTGAGCACACTCTTTTAGGAGACACCATTCAATTCACGACAGTGTATGAAATAAAAAGCATACTTTTAGTTTTGATGTAAGGCTAGTAACATCCATCTCAATATCTTAAGATTATGAACGGTTATAATAATAAGATATATCTGAAGTAAAATAACATTTCAAATACGTTTAAAATTATTAATCTATGAACATTTAATGTGGTCTTCAAAATACTCACTGGCCTCTCTTATCTCCATTGCCCAGGCAAAGACCATGAACCACATTAGTGTTCTGGGTCTACTATTTACTAATTATGTCTACCTAATTTCCTTACTGACTATGTCTACAGTTTGTTGGGCTCATATATTAAGCACCTAACAAACTTGATCATTGAGCCAGCAGGTGGTATGGTGGTTAAGGTGCTGGACTCCCACATGGCTGACTATGGTTTAAGTCCCAGACCTGGTGGCTTGCTTTCTCAATTTCGCTCTCTCTCTCTTTGTGTCTCTCTGGTCAAAGTAAAATGAATGAATGAGTAAACAAACAAATAAATAATTCTCTTTTTAAAAAAATAAGAGAAACCAGCAGATGGTGGAATGGTTACGTCGCTGGACTCCCATGTCGTCTAGTGGAATGGTTACGTCGCTGGACTCCCATGTAGTCTACTGAGGTTTGAGTCCTGGATCTGGCAGCTTTAAACTGAGGCTGGGCACATGTGCGTACGTGCCCAAGATCCCAGGAGGAGAATGGAGGAGAAGGGACTGCTGCATGACCATCCCCCCAAGGGGTGATTTATGGCTTTCTGTCTCTCTGGCAAGCACACATGCCCTTATAGCAAAAATTTCTCTCTGAAAAAAAAAAAAAGGATGGGACCAGCACATAGCGTGCGTGGTGGTTAAGGCTCTGGAGGTGGTTCGAGTCCTGGACCTGGTGGCTTGCCTTCTCACTTTCTCTCTCTCTCTGGTCCAACTAAAATAAATGAATAAATAAATAATTGTTTTTAAAAATGATAACAAAATAAATAATTTTTAAAAATAACTTTATTATAATGATGATGGTGTTTTTCAATTTGCTACATGGCACATGAGCTCACCAGAGAGAGAGAGAGAGGAAAAGTGAGAAAGCAAGCCACCAGGTCCGGGATTCAAACCACAGTCAGTGTAATGAACTATGTGGGAGTCCAGCACCTTAACCATCACGCTACCTGCTGACCCAATACTGACCCTCCTTTTTTCAAAGAATTATTTCATTTAACTTTATTTATTTTAATTTTACTAGAGAGGGACCAAGTGAGAGAGTGAGCGAGAGAAAGAGAGAGAAATAGAGAGGGAAAATGAGAAAGCAAGCCGCCAGGTCCAGGACTCAAACCGCGGTCAGCCGTGTGGGAGTCCAGCGCCCCTAACCACCATACCACCTGCCGGCCCCTTTTTTCTTTTTTTTTAGTAGAGATTTTGCCATTGGGTGTGTGTGCTGACCGGAAGGAGAGAGAGACAGAGACAGGCAGGGCAAATGAGAAATCAGCCCCCAAGGGAATGGCCACACCGCAATTCTTTCTCTTCCATTCTCCGCCTGGGATCTTGGGCACACATGTACACAAACTCGGCGTGAGTTTCAAACTCGGTCCGGGACTCGAACCCTGGTCAGCCATATGGGAGTCCAGTGCCTTAAACCACCACGCCACCTGCTGACCCAATACTGATCTTCTTAATAGAGAGGGATACGGGGGACAGCAGATCGTGTGGTGGTTTGGGGTCCTGGACTCCCACGTAGCCAATTGTGGTTCGAGTCCTGGACCTGCAGCTTGCTTTCCACGTTCCCTCTCTGAGTGCATATGCCCTGCAGCAAATTAAAATAATGATAGATAAAATGAAATAAATCATTCTTTAAAAAAAAAATAGATGGGGCTACCCAGTCACCTGCCCGTGTCACAGATCCGAGGAATACTCAGGTGTTGGGAAGGCAAAGCGGGTGGTGTTGGGACCCAGAACCGGGTCTGAAAACAGGTGAAGAGCTCAGATCATGGCTCACAAACGGAGTCCGGGACTCCAATCTCCCCTCTGCCTCTTCTGAGACCTTAGGCAAATGTCACTTTCCTCCCTAAAGTGGGACTAAAACAGTGCCCAACCTTAGACTCGTTCAAGAATCTACAAGATGAAGCGTGGGAAGGATAGGTCTTGAAGGACTCCGTAAGCAAGCGTCCCACGTGACCACGCTGGGGGTCTTTAATGGCTGGAGACAAGGGTGATCAACTTGAGGGCAGAAGCTAGGTATTGCAGGTCTCAGATGCCCAGCTGAGGAGTGAGTCTTCACTGCAGGGCAATAGGGAGCCATGGTGGATGTGTGAGCGAGGGACAGAATGCATTGGAGCTGAGCGTGGTAGATCCTCTGGGGGCCTGTCCAAGAATGGAAATGAAGATAATATTCAGGACAGGGGCTGAGAGGATGGCCGTCAGCCCGCAGAGAGAAAGATTTAGGACGATCACGCGTGTTCTCCGATTCTAGAAGAACCGCAGCTCGCTCCGGCCCCGCCCTCGCAGAATCGCGGGACCGCGCATGCGCACAGGCAGCAGGGAATCCCCGGCTCCGTCGCAGTGCGCGGGAGGGAGTTTGAGAGGGGAGTTCCGTGCGCTCCCAGCCC